TCAGGATCAGTGCCTTGGTCATGAATGGAGACTTTACTTCTAGTATTTGAAGTCAACGAAGCGTAAAATCTAAGCCAGATCCGTATGGGGCCCTACCTTTGATCCGACAGCACAGACCTGGGTTGGGGATATGTCACAATACATCTCCGGAAGTGGCGTATCGTAAAACGAAACAACGGCAGCCACGTCCTCTATTCTTGAATGTCATTTCTTAGTCGGCTTCCCTAGATGGCTGTTTACCTAGAGATGAATGAAACTTTGGCGAATGGGACGATGGGACGTGTGATTCATACATCCCCATTTAAATGTAGTCAGTAAGATGAGAGCGGTGGGGGGTGTACAACACAAACCTGATCGAACCGTCCTACGTTTGCTGGCTGGGTCAACAAAACAGCTGTTAGTTTTAGGGTAGACACAATCCCTAAATGTTCGCTGTCAATCAACTCGTTGGTTCCCACGCCTTGGGTTCTTGTTCCCACGAACAAAAAATACAGAATTGCGCACTCCGGTGATTCTTATAATTGTACCGCCCCGGCTGATTGAAACAGTCACCCTTACCGCCCCGGGTCATTGAAACAGGCTGTCCATGTGAATACAGCTGTACTTCAGGCTGTCCAAGTGAATACAGCTGTACTTCATGCTGTCCATGTGAATACAGGTGTACTTCATGCTGTCCATGTGAATACATCTTTACTTGAGGCTGTCGACGTGAATACAGCTGTACTTCATGCTGTCCATGTGAATACAGCTGTACTTCAGGCTGTCCATGTGAATAAAGCTGTACTTCAGGCTGTCCATGTGAATACAGCTGTACTTCAAGGTTTTCCACGTGAATACAGCTGTACTTCAGGCTGTCCACGTGAATACAGCTGTACTTCAGGCTGTCCATGTGAATACAGCTGTACTTCAGGCTGTCCATGTGAATACAGCTGTACTTCAGGCTGTCCATGTGAATACAGCTGTACTTCAGGCTGTCCATGTGAATACAGCTGTACTTCAGGCTGTCCACGTGAATACAGCTGTACTTCAGGCTGTCCATGTGAATACATCTGTACTTCAGGCTGTCCATGTGAATACAGCTGTACTTCAGGCTGTCCATGTGAATACAGCTGTACTTCAGGCTGTCCATGTGAATACAGCTGTACTTCAGGCTGTCCACGTGAATACAGCTGTACTTGAGTCTGTCGACGTGAATACATCTGTACTTCAGGCTGTCCATGTGAATACAGCTGTACTTCAGGCTGTCCATGTGAATACAGCTGTACTTCAGGCTGTCCATGTGAATACAGCTGTACTTCATGCTGTCCATGTGAATACAGCTGTACTTCAGGCTGTCCATGTGAATACAGCTGTACTTCAGGCTGTCCATGTGAATACAGCTGTACTTCAGGCTGTCCATGTGAATACAGCTGTACTTCAGGCTGTCGACGTGAATACAGCTGTACTTCAGGCTGTCCACGTGAATACAGCTGTATTTCAGGCTGTCCATGTGAATACAGCTGTACTTCAGGCTGTCCACGTGAATACAGCTGTATTTCAGGCTGTCCATGTGAATACAGCTGTACTTCAGGCTGTCGACGTGAATACAGCTGTACTTGAGGCTGTCGACGTGAATACAGCTGTACTTGAGTCTGTCGACGTGAATACATCTGTACTTCAGGCTGTCGACGTGAATACAGCTATAGAGTTGTTTAGCCCAACACCATGTAGAGACGGCCTTACGCTACATTAGTCACGTTGAGGAGCCCACACACCAAGACGTCTGGAAACCTTGCCGGCCTATAAACAACATCCACTATAGGCTGGATCATTCGTCTTTTGACGGATCATTGTCACAACTGTCAGACACACATAGTGTCAGCTTTTGTCACCAATTATCATACAGTGTTAAATATGTTTCAGGACATATTGTCAGTCACTCACTGCTTCGGTCAGCGGTCACTGGTCTAATCACATAGCCAGCTTCCTGTCAGCTGTCAACAACGGGCCGGACATTGGGTATGTTTTAACCCTTCAGACTGAGCTGGTATTCTTGTCCAGGACACGCACTCTTTGCGCACATAATACACACCCGAAAAAAAAATGTTGCTTTTACATGATCTAGAGTTAGAAGGTGGTATTTACTAGATCAAAAGCTTGAAGGTGGTATTTACATCATCAAACAGCTGATTGCTTGTTCATTGTTGTCTCGGTTTTAGACCTCACCTCTTTTCCAAACGTCATTTTGTCGTCTGGCTGGCGAGACGAGGGAAACATGAAAACACCCGTGTTCAATGGGGCTTTTATGTCCGATCCTTGACAGATAATACCCACTTAGGTTGTGTCGCCCCTACCCCATCATCAGCCCAACATCATTGATAGAAAAACTGGCTACTGTGGGAGTTTCGCTCCACGAGCGTGTGGGAACCTTGGGCTTTGGTTCATAATTTAAAGTGTTTTAACATGCTATCACAGTCGGGTTTTTCTTCAGTCCAAACGTTTTTTTATTGTTCCTCAAACAAACGGTAATAATAGACGGCTGTGAAAAGATGGTTTGATCACGTCTCATTACCCCTGATCTGGACCTTTTCTTGGCGTCTCCCGACATTAAAGGAAGCGAAGGCAATTGACAGGCCAACCGTAGCACTGTATTTGGGGCTGTCGAGTAAGTCACGGGCTCGTGGCTCCGAGATAAAAGACTCGCTTAGAAAGAGCCTGTGTGCACCCGTCTAGGCCTCACGAGTGGGACTACTTGGTGCAGCGCACCTCGGGTGTCAAAAGACTGGAAGTAAAAGAGCTGAGAACTAAAAGAACACTGGAAGACCACCTCTAGAAAGGTTCATTCTTCGTCTGGTATCCCGGCGTCTCGCGCCGGGGGGTCTCATTATTCAAATGGGGTGGGGAGCGGGACAGGAGTTTTATAAACAACTTTTAACGTTGCATACATACAAGGGACATAACCTCACAACTTTTAACGTTGCATGCATACAAGGGACATAACCTCACAACTTTTAACGTTGCATACATACAAGGGACATAACCTCACAACTTTTAACGTTGCATACATACAAGGGACATAACCTCACAACTTTTAACGTTGCATACATACAAGGGACATAACCTCACAACTTTTAACGTTGCATACATACAAGGGACATAACCTCACAACTTTTAACGTTGCATACATACAAGGGACATAACCTCACAACTTTTAACGTTGCATACATACAAGGGACATAACCTCACAACTTTTAACGTTGCATACATACAAGGGACATAACCTCACAACTTTTAACGTTGCATACATACAAGGGACATAACCTCACAACTTTTAACGTTGCATACATACAAGGGACATAACCTCACAACTTTTAACGTTGCATACATACAAGGGACATAACCTCACAACTTTTAACGTTGCATACATACAAGGGGCATAACCTCACAACTTTTAACGTTGCATACAGGGACAAGGGACATAATCTCACAACTTTTAATGTTACACATAGAGAACTGTTAACGTTGCACAAAATAAAACATTCTAGGATTATTAAATATAATTAATAAATTAATGGACATGCAAAATCTTGTATCAACTTAAATAATCTACGTACGGTACTAATTCTGATAATATAATTGAAATTGAATGGATGTATGTGTACATAAGGCTTTCATATGTGTAATAGTAACAGTCCCCGATATTTCATTATCTTCGATACTGTATGTCAAGTTTTTTTAACGAAAAAACTAATTTAATAAAACATTTAAGTGATAAAATTATATTATAATTATAACAATCCACAAAGTGAAATACTCAACCATGATATATGAAGTTAAATAAGTCTGCTATGTAAAGTCTTCCACCGATGGTCTAGAATTTATTTTACTTGAGACACCTCGTCCATCTTGTTCACACCCACCGCGGCTTCATAAGACCGGATGATGGATAGGTGATGATAGATATGCGACCGGAAGATAGAAAGGTGACCGGAAGATAGATAGGTGACTTGAAGATAGAAAGGTGACTGGAAGATAGATAGGTGACCGGAAGATAGAAAGGTGACCGGAAGATAGAAAGGTGACTGGAAGATAGATAGGTGACCGGAAGATAGAAAGGTGACTGGAAGATAGATAGGTGACTGGAAGATAGATAGGTGACTGGAAGATAGAAAGGTGACTTGAAGATAGATAGGTGACTTGAAGATAGATTGGTGACTGGAAGATAGAAAGGTGACCGGAAGATATACATGCGACCGCAACAGTTGTGAGTAGGTCAGGACTAAGAAAAAAATTCACTTTGAATTACCCGCTTGTTATTGAATGTGTTGAGTGTTGTTTATAAGGTTGTCAGGGGTTGATTATATCTACAAGAAAGTTTTTAAATGCACCTGAGGGTGACAGAGAGCTTGCTACTTTAGCTGCTGTATTCAGGTTGTGGTGGTGACGCGCTATTATAAACTGTTAGTTTGACATAAAGATACGCATGTCTAAAACAATTGAATCAGTGAGACAGTATCTCTAGACCTCCCATACGTTCAAAGACCCCTATTAATCACACAGACCCCCATTAATCTTCCAGACCCCTATGTGAAGAAAAAGCCTTATTTATCTGGAGTTTGTCAAACGATCAATCATCAGCAACAAAAGCAAATGGTGTATGTGTGTGTGTAGACGATAAGCCTCTCGAGCAGATATTTCATGCTAACCTTACACACGCCGCCCTTCACAGAACTAGTCATCATCAGGTAGACGACTTTTGTAGTAGACCACAAATAAAAACTCAACATTCTATTTTCAAATCTTTTTCCGCCTAGGTTATCAGGTGCATCTAGCTCTGATTTCATTCTTTCTTCTCCGACTCAGCGCCGACCATCTCAAGTATCACCGAATTTAAAGTCTCCTTGTTATCTGCTAGGATCTTACCCCACCCCCAGCCCAATGTATATTTAGTTAATGCTTTAATCGTTCTCTATATTGCTGTGTTCTCTACTTTGAAATGCTAACACTATGTTTCTTTGCAGTATGTCCTATCCAAGTACGGCTACCTACTCTGCCAAGGTAACCGCCAGAAGCGAGAATCGTCCAGTTACTTCCAAGGTCTGCGCGGGCTGAGTGAAGGTAGTGGCGTGGGCTGCGACGAGCGGGCCGTGAAGACGGCCATCCAGACCTACCAGAGGACGTACAACCTGCCCGCCACGGGCGAGCTGGACGACCAGACCAAGTCCCTCATGAGCACGTCGCGCTGCGGTAACTTGGACAGTGAAAGGAAGGCCAAACGAGGGACAGACCAGGACGCTGGTATCAAAAGTAGAGCCTCCACGGCTGATGGCGAAGACAACCGCACACAACTGCAACATTCGAGGTTGTCCAAACGATCAACTCGAGGCAAAAGCCAATTGATTCACATTTTGTCGGGGGAAAAATCAAAAGCTCGTTCACAAGAGTACAAGAAAAGACATTTAGAGGATTATATTGCAAAAATTCGGAGTGAAGCCAAAGGGGAAAAACGTATCCTCCATCGATACACACCCGCAGAACGGAAAAGACGATCCGTTCATGTGTGGGCCAGAAAAGGCCTGCCCTTGGGTAAATACCTGGGTGAGAATGGTGAAATCTTTAACAAAAAAGTTGTCCGATGGCGGGTGCTGACCACTGGTTTCAGCACCCGCATTCCAGTGGAAGACCAGAGGGCAACGATAGATCTGGCTTTCCGCATGTGGAGTGAGGTCATTCCCATGCGCTTTACAGAGGACAACAAGGGACACATCAACGACATTGATATTGAAATCGCTTTTGGAAAAGGTACATTTTACGTTTTCTTATCCATCTTTGTTTAAAACTGCAATGTCAGCTTTACACATAAACCCATGCTATTACCAGTGTCTATCCATTCATTCACTTGCTGCAACTACCATTGTCCACCCTGTCAATCCATTCATTAATTCGCTGCAAATACGCCTGTCTATCTATTCATTAACTTGCTGAAACTACCATTCAAGATCACCATGGGCTACAATGCTAGAATGTGCTAGCGATTGGCTACATCCCTAGAATTGGGCTAGCGATGGGCTACTACAATGCTAGAATGTGCTAGCGATTGGCTACATCCCTAGAATTGGGCTAGCGATGGGCTACTACAATGCTAGAATGTGCTAGCGATTGGCTACATCTCTAGAATTGGGCTAGCGATGGGCTACTTTAATGCTATAATGTGCTAGCAATGGGCTACTACAATGCTAGAATGTGCTAGCAATGGGCTACTACAATGCTAGAATGTGCTAGCAATGGGCTAGTACAATGCTAGAATGTGCTAGCGATGGGCTAGTACAATGCTAGAATGTGCTAGCGATGGGCTAGTACAATGCTAGAATGTGCTAGCAATTGGCTACTACAATGCTAGAATGTGCTAGCAATGGGCTACTACTATGCTAGAATGTGCTAGCAATGGGCTACTACAATGCTAGAACGTGCTAGCAATGGGCTACTACAATGCTAGAATGTGCTAGCAATTGGCTACTACAATGCTAGAATGTGCTAGCAATGAGCTACTACAATGCTAGAATGTGCTAGCAATGGACTACTACAATGTTAGAATGTGCTAGCAATGGGCTACTACAATGCTAGAATGTGCTAGCGATGGACTACTACAATGCTAGAATGTGCTAGCAATGGGCTACAACAATGCTATAATGTGCTAGCAATTGGCTACTACAATGCTAGAATGTGCTAGCAATGGGCTACTACAATGCTAGAATGTGCTAGCGATGCCGGGAGATCATGATGGATGGCTCTGTCTGTGTGGTCGTGGCCTGGGAGAGGAAATCTTTTATAAATATTTTTTCACCTGTATCAGACTTGTCAGTGCGGCTTTGTAAAGTCGGATGGAAAAGCTTTTGGTTCTGTTAGACAAACGTCTCGAGGCTGTAATCCTCACATTATTCTACGTGATCTTCTTTCATTGGACGTTTTGTTATTGGTTTGATGAAAGGTTCAACGTAGTTTGGTGGTTACAGCCACATTGGGTGGCATGAAGTTTCTCTTCCATCAAGTCCGATTGGCATGACCTAGCTATAAGTCTAGTCACATGAAGTTTCTCTTCCATCAAGTCCGATTGGCTTGACCTAGCTATAAGTCTAGTCACATGAAGTTTCTGTTCCATTAAGTCCGATTGGCATGACCTAGCTATAAGTCTAGTCACATGAAGTTTCTGTTCCATCAAGTCCGATTGGCTTGACCTAGCTATAAGTCTAGTCACATGAAGTTTCTGTTCCATTAAGTCCGATTGGCATGACCTAGCTATAAGTCTAGTCACATGAAGTTTCTGTTCCATTAAGTCCGATTGGCTTGACCTAGCTATAAGTCTAGTCACATGAAGTTTCTGTTCCATCAAGTCCGATTGGCATGACCTAGCTATAAGTCTAGTCACATGAAGTTTCTGTTCCATTAAGTCCGATTGGCATGACCTAGCTATAAGTCTAGTCACATGAAGTTTCTGTTCCATCAAGTCCGATTGGCTTGACCTAGCTATAAGTCTAGTCACATGAAGTTTCTGTTCCATTAAGTCCGATTGGCATGACCTAGCTATAAGTCTAGTCACATGAAGTTTCTGTTCCATTAAGTCCGATTGGCTTGACCTAGCTATAAGTCTAGTCACATGAAGTTTCTGTTCCATTAAGTCCGATTGGCTTGACCTAGCTATAAGTCTAGTCACATGAAGTTTCCATCAAGTCCGATTGGCTTGACCTAGCTATAAGTCTAGTCACATGAAGTTTCCATCAAGTCCGAATGGCTTGACCTAGCTATAAGTCTAGTCACATGAAGTTTCTGTTCCATTAAGTCCGATTGGCTTGACCTAGCTATAAGTCTAGTCACATGAAGTTTCTGTTCCATCAAGTCCGATTGGCTTGACCTAGCTATAAGTCTAGTCACATGAAGTTTCTGTTCCATTAAGTCCGATTGGCTTGACCTAGCTATAAGTCTAGTCACATGAAGTTTCTGTTCCATTAAGTCCGATTGGCTTGACCTAGCTATAAGTCTAGTCACATGAAGTTTCTGTTCCATCAAGTCCGATTGGCTTGACCTAGCTATAAGTCTAGTCACATGAAGTTTCTGTTCCATTAAGTCCGATTGGCATGACCTAGCTATAAGTCTAGTCACATGAAGTTTCTGTTCCATTAAGTCCAATTGGCTTGACCTAGCTATAAGTCTAGTCACATGAAGTTTCTGTTCCATTAAGTCCGATTGGCTTGACCTAGCTATAAGTCTAGTCACATGAAGTTTCTGTTCCATTAAGTCCAATTGGCTTGACCTAGCTATAAGTCTAGTCACATGAAGTTTCTGTTCCATTAAGTCCGATTGGCTTGACCTAGCTATAAGTCTAGTCACATGAAGTTTCTGTTCCATTAAGTCCGATTGGCTTGACCTAGCTATAAGTCTAGTCACATGAAGTTTCCATCAAGCCCGATTGGCTTGAGCCAGCGCACACTGTCCTTATCTGTAAATCTGTGGCAGATTGTCGTAGAGAGGCCGTTATCTGCAGTGGCCTTCCTGTTGACATGATCCCCAAGTGGAGTGCGGCTATTCACTTGACAGGTCGCCAGTGGTGGGCGGGCCTACTTCAATCACTGCTCCCTTCTTAGATCTACTGCTCATTAAAACCTGGCCGTCAGCTGCTAGTCTTCATGTTTACATCAGGCAGAATTAATCATTTGAGATTTTCATCACCAGAATATGTAATGCATTACAAATCCCCTCCACAAGATGTCCCCTCTCCCCTCTCTATACCCCACCTTTATCTATAACACAACGCTCGCTACTAACATTCTAAAACGAAATTAGGGTTTTAATAACTTTCATTTTTATTTTTTTACCTGACCCCCCAACTCGCCACAACCCTCCCTCGCTTGACGGTTGACTTATTAGGCCATGACCATCCAGTCAGTGTTTCTTCCAGACTTTTGTCTCGGGAGGGGGGGGGGGGGGCGGCACTTGAAATTTTCAGGGGAACCGGACTAAAAATTCCGGGGGGGGGGAGAGACACTGTTGAAAGCATACATTTTCTATATAAATTCTATTTCGTTCGGGTGGGGGGGGGGGGGAAAGAGAAAGCCACCCCCCCCCCCCCCCCCCCCCCAGCCGAAGAGATGTCTGGAAGAAACTCTGCATTCAGCACATATTACAATATTGTGGCAGACCTCAGATAACTAGCCTATCTTGGACATCGTTTCTCTTCTCCTGCACCGAGTTTTATTTTTATCCCATCTTTTAAAATACATCTTGAACTATTCAGATCGTTAGAAATATAATTAGTACAGACTGATTGATGTGTAGAGATTGATCAAGTAAAGATTGCTTGATGTGATTGATCAAGTAAAGATTGCTTGATGTGTAGAGATTGATCAAGTAAAGATTGCTTGATGTGATTGATCAAGTAAAGATTGCTTGATGTGTAGAGATTGATCAAGTAAAGATTGCTTGATGTATTGAGCAAGTAAAGATTGCTTGATGTGATTGATCAAGTAAAGATTGCTTGATGTGTAGAGATTGATCAAGTAAAGATTGCTTGATGTGTAGAGATTGATCAAGTAAAGATTGCTTGATGTGTAGAGATTGATCAAGTAAAGATTGCTTGATGTGTAGAGATTGATCAAGTAAAGATTGCTTGATGTGATTGATCAGGTAAAGATTGCTTGATGTGTAGAGATTGAGCAAGTAAAGATTGCTTGATGTGATTGATTAAGTAAAGATTGCTTGATGTGATTGATCAAGTAAAGATTGCTTGATGTGATTGATTAAGTAAAGATTGCTTGATGTGATTGATCAAGTAAAGATTGCTTGATGTGATTGAGCCAGTAATGAATGTGATCAATGAATGTTTTGTCCAGGCTCCCACGTGGACTGCCTGCACGACTTTGACGGCAATGGTGGGGAGATCGCCCACTCCTGGAGCGCTGGCAACATGCACTTTGACGACGAGGAAAACTTCAAGTCCATTCGCTCCCACACTAAAGACGGCATCTATCTGTTGAGGGTGGCCGTCCACGAGATCGGTCACGTGCTGGGCCTGTCCCACACCAACAAATCGCAGTCCATCATGTACGCCATCTACCACTCGGAGATCCTGGACCCTCAGTTTGAGCTCACCAAGGACGACAGGCGAGACATACAAGCTATCTATGGTCAGTAGTTCCCACTATACACACTAGGCTTTTGATGCTGATACGTTTATTTCATCTTTAACTTTTATACCAGCTTAGTCAAATTACATACATTATATTGTGTTCTATCTGCGCTTTTATTTTATGACAGGTGTTTGCACAGGAAAATTTAGCACAGTATTTGATTGGGTGCGGGTTCGTGCCGATAACGAGCTGATCTACAACACGTACTTCTTCCGTGAGAACCACTATTGGATGTATGACAACCACAACAACAGAACCAGATATGGAGACCCGCTCTTTATTGCTCGCGAGTGGGACGGGGTACCTGATAACCCTGATGGCTATGTGCAATTTACTCCCTATTTCTCTTATTTTTTTAAAGGTAAGTCTCTTGGCCAATCTTAAGGAGTCATTTATCAATCTATGGCTGGCAAATTATTGCTGCACATGTTCCATGGCTGTCAGATTATGGCTGCATATGTTCCATGGCTGTCAGATTATTGCTGCACTTGTTCCATGGCTGGCAACTGTTAGTGCTGACTTTTGTTATGGTACTGTTAGTGCTGGCTTTTGTTATGGCACTGTTAGTGCTAGTGCTGGCTTTTGTTATGGCACTGTTAGAGTTAGTGCTGGCTTTTGTTATGGCACTGTTAGAGTTAGTGCTGGCTTTTGTTATGGTACTGTTAGTGTTAGTGCTGGCTTTTGTTATGGTACTGTTAGTGCTGGCTTTTGTTATGGCACTGTTAGTGCTAGTGCTGGCTTTTGTTATGGTACTGTTAGTGTTAGTGCTGGCTTTTGTTATGGTACTGTTAGTGCTGGCTTTTGTTATGGCACTGTTAGTGCTAGTGCTGGCTTTTGTTATGGTACTGTTAGTGCTGGCTTTTGTTATGGTACTGTTAGTGCTGGCTTTTGTTATGGTACTGTTAGTGCTGGCTTTTGTTATGGTACTGTTAGTGCTGACTTTTGTTATGGTACTGTTAGTGCTGACTTTTGTTATGGTACTGTTAGTGCTGGCTTTTGTTATGGTACTGTTAGTGCTGGCTTTTGTTATGGTACTGTTAGTGCTGGCTTTTGTTATGGCACTGTTAGTGCTGACTTTTGTTATGGTACTGTTAGTGCTGGCTTTTGTTATGGCAATGTTAGTGTTAGTGCTGGCTTTTGTTATGGCAATGTTAGTGTTAGTGCTGGCTTTTGTTATGGCACTGTTAGTGCTGGCTTTTGTTATGGTACTGTTAGTGCTGACTTTTGTTATGGCAATGTTAGTGTTAGTGCTGGCTTTTGTTATGGCACTGTTAGTGTTAGTGTTGGCTTTTGTTATGGCACTGTTAGTGCTAGTGCTGGCTTTTGTTATGGTACTGTTAGTGTTAGTGCTGGCTTTTGTTATGGTACTGTTAGTGTTAGTGCTGGCTTTTGTTATGGTACTGTTAGTGCTGGCTTTTGTTATGGTACTGTTAGTGTTAGTGTTGGCTTTTGTTATGGTACTGTTAGTGTTAGTGCTGGCTTTTGTTATGGTACTGTTAGTGCTGGCTTTTGTTATGGCACTGTTAGTGCTAGTGCTGGCTTTTGTTATGGTACTGTTAGTGCTGGCTTTTGTTATGCCACTGTTAGTGCTAGTGCTGGCTTTTGTTATGGTACTGTTAGTGCTGGCTTTTGTTATGGTACTGTTAGTGCTGGCTTTTGTTATGGTACTGTTAGTGTTAGTTCTGGCTTTTGTTATGGTACTGTTAGTGCTGGCTTTTGTTATGGTACTGTTAGTGCTGGCTTTTGTTATGGTACTGTTAGTGCTGGCTTTTGTTATGGTACTGTTAGTGCTGGCTTTTGTTATGGTACTGTTAGTGCTGGCTTTTGTTATGGTACTGTTAGTGCTGGCTTTTGTTATGGTACTGTTAGTGCTGGCTTTTGTTATGGTACTGTTAGTGTTAGTGTTGGCTTTTGTTATGGTACTGTTAGTGTTAGTGCTGGCTTTTGTTATGGTACTGTTAGTGTTAGTGCTGGCTTTTGTTATGGTACTGTTAGTGCTGGCTTTTGTTATGGCACTGTTAGTGCTAGTGCTGGCTTTTGTTATGGTACTGTTAGTGTTAGTGCTGGCTTTTGTTATGGTACTGTTAGTGCTGGCTTTTGTTATGGTACTGTTAGTGCTGGCTTTTGTTATGCCATTGTTAGTGTTGGTGCTGGCTTTTGTTATGCCATTGTTAGTGCTGGCTTTTTATTTGGCTTAATGATCATGTGTACTGTAAAGATGTGTTTGTGCCTCTGCTGCTAAAGTAGCTCCAATAGCTCAATAGCAGTCGTTCTATCTGATTCCAGGTGAATACTACTACAAGTATGACAGCTCTAAAGATCATGTTGTGGCTGGATGGCCTAGGAAAATTAGTGAGGACTTTGGACCAAAAGCTGGCCTAACTGAAAGTGTTCCTGACCATCTTGATACTGTCTTCTATGACTTGAGGGATAAAAATATTTACTTTTTCAAGGATGCAGATGTAAGTATCAGCTGTGTGAGACATACAGATGATTAAACTTGTTTACATTGATGTATGTAGAACTGCATATTTAACTTAACCATGAATGTATATACATGTGCTACTGGTAGATGGATGTGTGTACATGTGCTACTGGTAAATGGATGTGTGTACATGTGCTACTGCTACTGGTAGATGGATGTATGTACATGTGCTACTGGTAGATGGATGTATGTACATGTGCTACTGGTAGATGGATGTGCATACATGTGAGACTGGTAGATGGATGTGTGTACATGTGCTACTGGTAGATGGATGTGTGTACATGTGCTACTGGTAGATGGATGTGCATACATGTGAGACTGGTAGATGGATGTGTGTACATGTGCTACTGCTACTGGTAGATGGATGTGTGTACATGTGCTACTGCTACTGGTAGATGGATGTGTGTATATGTGCTACTGGTAGATGGATGTATGTACATGTGCTACTGGTAGATGGATGTGCATACATGTGAGACTGGTAGATGGATGTGTGTACATGTGCTACTGGTAGATGGATGTGTGTACATGTGCTACTGGTAGATGGGTGTGCATACATGTGAGACTGGTAGATGGATGTGTGTACATGTGCTACTGGTAGATGGATGTGTGTACATGTGCTACTGGTAGATGGATGTGCATACATGTGAGACTGGTAGATGGATGTGTGTACATGTGAGACTGGTAGATGGATGAATGTACATGTGCTACTGGTAGATGAATGTGCATACATGTGCTACTGGTAGATGGATGAATGTACATGTGCTACTGGTAGATGGATGTGCATACATGTGCTACTGGTAGATGGATGTGTGTACATGTGCTCAGTGTTTCTTCCAGACTTTTTTCTCCGGGGGGGGGGGGGCACTTGAAATTTTCGGGGGGGGGGGGGGCGGTAAACTTTCTTCGGGGGGTGGGGGGGGGGGGGGGGCGGACACTGTTAAAAGTGTATATTTTCTATATAAATTATATACATTTCATTTCTTTCGGGGGGGGGGGGGCTTGGCCCCCCCCCCCCCCCCCGAAGAGATGCCTGGAAGAAACTCTGCATGTGCTACTGGTAGATGGATGTATGTACATGTGCTACTGGTAGATGGGTGTGTGTACATGTGCTACTGGTAGATGGATGTGTGTACATGTGCTACTGGTAGATGGATGTATGTACATGTGCTACTGGTAGATGGATGTGTGTACATGTGCTACTGGTAGATGGATGTGCATACATGTGGTACTGGTAGATGGATGTGTACATGTGCTATTGGTAGATGGATGTGCATACATGTGCTACTGGTAGATGGATGTGCATACATGTGCTACTGGTAGATGGATGTGCATACATGTGCTACTGATAGATTGCTGCCATGTACAACTGTTGCACTTCTGCAGGTCTATGTGTACAAAGCCAACGCCCCAGAGGCAGAAAGAGGCTGCTGTGTGAGGAAGAATAAAATAGTTGATGAATTTCCTTCTGAACCTGGCCACAAAGCTCTCCCTGCCAACTTGGACGCTGTGTATTATTCCTTTCGGGATCAAATGATGTACTTTTTCAAAGGGGAAGAGCTGTGGCGGAATAAACTCTATGACCTTCGTCACACAACTATTCAAAATAAGATCGAATATCTAGGCAATTGGTGGAATAAATGGGTAGACATTTGTGATGTCATTGTGACGTAAGGACAGGACCAGGGTCAAGGTGCCAGAACACGTGACCTGGTGATGTGGGGGCTACACAAGCTGGCGTATTGTGATACAGACAGGCCACCAGCTGGCCATGTCTGCTTACATACAGACAGACCTTTGTCTGCTTACATCCAGACTTTATTGTGTCTGCTTACATACAGACAGACCTTTGTCTGCGTACATCCAGACTTTACCGTGTCTGCTTACATACAGACAAACCTTTGTCTGCGTACATCCAGATAAACCTTTGTCTGCTTACATACAGACAGACCTTTGTCTGCTTACATCCAGACTTTACTGTGTCTGCTTACATCCAGACTTTACTGTGTCTGCTAATATTCAGACAAGTCAGTGATTGATGACATCCAGACAAACTTTTGCTTACACCCAGACAAATTTGTCTGCTTACAACCTGATGTCTTTTAGCTTGGCCACTCATCTTGTATGTAGTGCATAGAATGATGTTCTTGTATATAATAAGATTAGACTGACAGCATTAAAACTTGACAGTTTCTCTTAAAACTTATCAAACAGCTTATCCAAAACTGATAACCTAACCCCATTTGGACAATGACTGACAACTCCATCACTGACACAAACGAGAGTATCCTTAAAATGACTGACAAACTCCATTTAGACACTGAGACAAAAAATCTTGAGTATCTTTGGAGACTTGTGAATGGGACAGAAGCCACAGCCTATCAATCATTCATTCATGTCATGCTCCATTGGTTTTGCTTTTTTGAAGATACTGTGCACAAAGTTTTCCATTGCATTTATTTGAGTAATTATTTTTTTATAAACCAGGTTGTTGAAAAACTACATGTATATAAATATATATAAAATATGCTATATTTTTATATATGTTTATATCTAGATTTGAATGTATATATCTACACACATCTGGAACATTCCTACATTCACAACACATGTAACAATCAGTACTTGTGTTCTACACTCAAACCACTCATAAAACTGGCAGTCTCAGCCAGTCATAGCTACCACACTAAATACAACAGACAGACAACCAAATGCATGCTCAATGAATAGACCAAGTAAAGCTACAGAATAAAGCACCCTTTTATAGCACTAGATTAGCCAAATGCGCACACACAGACACACACAAACACAGCTCATACAATTGTCTAGTTGCTTGACTATATTTTATCATGGGAGGCTGTTGGTCTTGATGTCTTGGACACCTGGACAGTGACCTAGTACAGGTGACCTCAAATATTTGATGTCTTCAATGGCTACTCACCTCTCGTGTTGGTATTTGCCCTCTAGTAGGATCACATAGGCAGATCATTAGTCGATATGTTATCAATCACTTGCTGTACATATCCAAAAACTAAAGTTGACCCTATTACTCCATTTACTAGATTTTTCTAGGTATTTCTCTCACAGTTTATCTTTGCTTACACACGCTTCATGTTTCATAACTGTCGTGTGCCTCTTATACAACAGTCTCTTTCTCTACGTTTTGAGGACCCTCCTCCCCCTTAATCCTCCCATTTTATCTATTATTTGAGAACTACATTATTTCTTTCATGCTAAATCTATTTTTAGAACCCCATCAACCTGACACAACCTCTATTTTGTGAGAAACCCCATTAATACTCCAGTCTATTCCTCTAATCTTTGAGAACCTCTTATCAATCTTCCAGTCTATTCCTCTAATCTTTGAGAACCTCTTATCAATCTTCCAGTCTATTCCTCTATTTCTTGAGAACCTCTTACCAATCTTCCAGTCTATTCCTCTATTTCTTGAGAACCTCTTATCAATCTTCCAGTCTATTCCTCTATTTCTTGAGAACCTCTCATCAACCCAGTCAAAAAAAATGGTTGGCCAATGGTGCACATCCCATATCTTCCAGCCAGCCAAATTTTTTTCTCTAGCTCTTTAATTTTTTTTTTCATTTCAGAATTGGGGTTGTGGTAATATTATTCCAATCTTTTTCATTTGTTTCACTCTACTAAGACTTATTTATAAAGTATCATTTTCAGCAACCAGAATACAAAGCCACATAACATTACACCACATGACACCACCTAGCCACATGACAATTTCATGCCACTACATGATAGCACATAGCCAGATCTAGGTAACCCCCATAGAACACAACAGCACATAATCTTACACTACAATAGCAGACCAGAACCACTAGTGGAGCAGCTCATCATGTGATTAGCATCACGTGGTTTCTTGGGCCACATCTCATGTGATGTGGTCCTACCATTTGAGCGGGCCCTTCTTCTGTGTGATGTGGTCCTACCATTTAAGGGGGCCCTTCTTCTGTGTAATGTGGTCCTACCATTTAAGGGGGCCCTTCTTCTGTGTGATGTGGTCCTACCATTTAAGGGGGCCCTTCTTCTGTGTAATGTGGTCCTACCATCTGAGCGGGCCCTTCTTCTGTGTGATGTGGTCCTACCATTTAAGGGGGCCCTTCTTCTGTGTGATGTGGTCCTACCATTTGAGGAGGCCCTTCTTCTGTGTGATGTGGTCCTACCATTTGAGGGGGCCCTTCTTCTGTGTGATGTGGGCCTACCATTTGAGGGGGCCCTTCTTCTGTGTGATGTGGTCCTACCATTTGAGGGGGCACTTCTTCTGTGTGTAGTGGTCCTACCATGTGAGGCCCTTCTTCTGTGTGATGTGGTCCTACCATTTGAGGCCCTTCTTCTGTGTGATGTGGTCCTACCATTTGAGGGGGCCCTTCTTCTGTGTGATGTAGTCCTACCATTTGAGGGGGCCCTTCTTCTGTGTGATGTGGTCTTACTATTTGAGGCCCTTCTTCCGTGTGATGTGGTCCTACCATTTGAGGGGGCCCTTCTTCTGTGTGATGTGGTCCTACCATTTGAGCGGGCCCTTCTTCTGTGTGATGTGGTCCTACCATTTGAGGGGGCCCTTCTTCTGTGTGATGTGGTCCTACCATTTGAGGGGGCCTTCTTATGTGTGATGTGGTCCTACCATTTGAGGCCCTTCTTCTGTGTGATGTGGTCCCACCATTTGAGGGGGCCCTTCTTCTGTGTGATGTGGTCCCACCATTTGAGGCCCTTCTTCTGTGTGATGTGGTCCTACCATTTGAGGCCCTTCTTCTGTGTGATGTGGTCCTACCTTTTGAGGCCCTTCTTCTGTGTGATGTGGTCCAACCATTTGAGGCCCTTCTTCTGTGTGATGTGGTCCTACCATTTGAGGCCCTTCTTCCATGTGATGCAGTCCCCAGCCCTATGCAAGGGGAACTTCAATCCATGAGCTCCTCACTCTAGTAAAACCATCCACTCAACTACTTGTTATTTATAGTTAGCTTTAAATGATTGATGTTCTATGTAGTGATCCCCACAGAGAGACCAGCGCTGGTTGATGTGGGGGCAATTTGTTGTTAAATTATTCATTTCATCTATCTTATTTAATTTATGTTGAAGAAAAAATGTGCAGAGTGCTACATACATTGTCCAATGCTTGAAATGCTGTTTATTCAAAATTTTTAAAAATGTTTTTGGGTAATACAAAAATAATATTGCAAAATCTCCTGTGTTTTTGTTTTTAATACAAAGTTGAAGGTGAAGAATTGTATATGAGTGCTCTGTGCGTGTGTGAAAGAGAATGAGTTTGTGTGTGTGTGCGTGCGTGAAATCTTGAGTATAATGTATAACAGCAGAAAATTAGATAAGAATAAAATGTTATGGCAAGTGCATATCTATAATATAAGGCTGGTGGTAGTGTGTCAGTCAGTCCGTCAATCATTCCGTCATCGCTATAGATTTTGTTTATATGACCACTTAAATTTATTTTACAGTTGCCACAGTTTTTACTCTTTCGCATAACGTGAAGAAAATATTAAATACACGCACATTGCTAAAAAATATTAAACGGATCAATGTTAAATAATATTATCGCTTAGATTCCTAGAAAAATTGGATGCATTTTAAAAACAATAGGTTAAAAAAATTCATAAAGAACGTTTTAATAATACATTTTTATGTAATAATGCACTAAAAAGTAGAAACTAAATTATACACTACTATTTAAATAACTATAAAGAACAGCGTGGGTCACAATAGTATCTATTGGATACAGAGTTTCTTCCAGGCATCTCTTCGGGGGGGAGGGGGGGGGGGGGGCAAAGCCCCCCCCCCCCGGAAAAAATTCTACCGCCCTTCCCCCGAACGAAATGAAATTTATCCGCACCCCCCCCCCCCCCCCGAAGAAAGTCTACGTCTACCGCCGCCCCCCCCCCCCCCCCCCCGGAGAAAAAATTCTGGAAGAAACACTGATTGGATACCTTTACTGATATTTAGGAAGAGACCCACGCTTTTCTTTATAGTTATTTAAATATTAGTGTATAATTTAGTTTCTACTTTTTAGTGCATTATTACATAAAACTAATAAAACTAAAAGCTTGTTATTAAAACGTTTTTATGAACTTTTTAAAATTTATACATTTTTTTAAGTACTTTAATTTTTTTTTAATTTACAATAGAGTTGCATGACTAAAAACCATGTGCGCCTAATGAACATGATGACGCGTGTATAATAGTGCGGAATAGTTTGATGAGACAGCCTAATAATTTGGACAAAATTTTAATTGATTCATACAAAATTAAGCAGGCATCCAGCTAAGTCAAATTTAATGTCATGTTGCATTGTCTTCATGTCTTGACCCACGTGCCAACGTTGAAACAAATTCGTCAGTTAGAAGTGTCCGAAATTTCGCTAGGGCGTTTCGATCTAGACAGACTGACGGCATACGACAGAGGAATTGAGTTAAATAAAAGCTTGTAAAAAAATTCATAAAAAACGTTTTAATAACAAGCTTTTAAGTAATAATGCACTAAAAAGTAGAAAATACATTATACACTACTATTTAAATAACTATAAAGAAAAGCAAACACAAAAGAAAACACTAACACAATGCAAACAAACACAATGCAAACACAAACGAAAACACAAACGCAACACACAAACACAAAAGACAACACTCATAAATTTGCATTAACATTTTGCTAATTATATTATTGCAATAATTGTTCCTTTTCGGACGACCGTAGATTTTGCATTCACTTTTTTTTTATTAGCGTGAGTTGAATTTATTTTTAAATTACCACCCTTGGAAAATTACAAAACAGTTGAATTAATTAGTTTTTTCGACGTATTATTATTAAAAATGTATCCACTTTTTCTAGAAATCTAAAAGAAAATGATATTTGACATTGATCCTTATAATATTTTTTTAGCAATGTGCGTGTATTTAATATTTTCTTTACGTTATGCGAGAGAGTAAAAACAGTGGCAACTATAATATAAATTTAAGTCGTTATATAAACAAACCCTATTCTATTACTTATAATAAGACACTGCGATGTAAGTAAAAAGCACGACATGTGATGTGTTTCCTTTGATGGTTCCAAAATCTATATCGATGACCGACGAACGGACTGACACACTCTCAGCCCGCTTTTATTGTAGACACTGCGATTTGTTTATTTATAGATACGTTGGGGTGTTATAGTTGTTTACTAAATTGAATAAGGCGGTTCCACAAGCGCCCCGGCAGGGTGTGATTTGGCGCACCGGGTTAGACTGTGATCAGTGATCACTATACGTTTATGTTTACATTAAATTTTTGTTTATGTTATGCGTGTTACGTCTTCGTTAGCGTTTGTGTTTGCGTTTTCTTTTTGTTTTTTTGGGTTTGCATTTGTGTTTGGGTTTGCATTGGTTTTGTGTATGCGTTTGTGTTTTCTTTTGTGTTTGTGTTTGCGTTTGTGCTTTCTATTGCGTTTGTGTTTTCGTTTGTGTTTTTCGCGTTTGCGTTTGAATTTGTGTTTGCATTGTGTTTGCATTTGCATTGTTTTTGTGTTTGCGTTTTCTTTTGGGTTTGAGTTTGTGTTGTGTTTGTGTTTGCGTGTGTGTTTAGTTTTGTTCTGTTCCCAAGTTGAAACATTTTAAAAAGATTCACCGTGGCGGAGCACGGGTATGTTAATGTTCCCCCAATAGCCCTAAACGAACAGTATTTAAATTTTAGTTCTGATAATAAAACAAATTGTGTTTAAGCTGTCCTAGCTGTCGTCTAGAGCTGTCCTAGCTGTCGTCTAGAGCTGTCCTAGCTGTCGTCTAGAGCTGTCCTTACTGTCGTCTAGAGCTGTCCTAGCTGTCGTCTAGAGCTGTCCTAGCTGTCGTCTAGAGCTGTCCTAGCTGTCGTCTAGAGCTGTCCTAGCTGTCGTCTAGAGCTGTCCTAGCTGTCGTCTAGAGCTGTCCTAGCTGTCGTCTAGAGCTGTCCTAGCTGTCGTCTAGAGCTGTCCTAGCTGTCGTCTAGAGCTGTCCTAGCTGTCGTCTAGAGCTGTCCTAGCTGTCGTCTAGAGCTGTCCTAGCTGTCGTCTAGAGCTGTCCTAGCTGTCGTCTAGAGCTGTCCTAGCTGTCGTCTAGAGCTGTCCTAGCTGTCGTCTAGAGCTGTCCTAGCTGTCGTCTAGAGCTGTCCTAGCTGTCGTCTAGAGCTGTCCTAGCTGTCGTCTAGAGCTGTCCTAGCTGTCGTCTAGAGCTGTCCTTACTGTCGTCTAGAGCTGTCCTAGCTGTCGTCTAGAGCTGTCTCGCCGAGCGTGCATGTAGGGCCATTGCCCCGTGATCTCGTGCTAGATGGTTGTTGACCTTTCACAAAGGCCGGTTTCACCCAAAGATCAGCAATTGGCATGACCTTTTAACGTTTTGTTTATTTAATTTCAGCCTAGAAGGTCGAGACGAATCAAAAATAGAACTTCAAAGGCTCTAATAGACCTGACGATAGGGTGACAGCAATCAGGTGTCTGATTGTCGCCTGCTAAAACAAGAATAAACTCCTTTGTTTTACTTTGACTGCTGGAAACTTTTTGGCCGCCCTAATAACCTCACTGTGATTAGACAGGCGCTAATGAAAAGATGGCGAAACCTTGCTTTAGTACAGCGATACGGTCAACCACCCCACCTCCACATGTCATTTAACAGAATAAATCTGACCCACCACCACCTTCACCCTACTCCCCCCCCCCCCACCCCACATGTTGGCTTTGTAAGCCATTAAGATAATATTTTACCTCATTATATTATCAACTACACTCATACTTGAAAATCAAATGTCGAGTTAAATGACGTTGATGAAAATCAAACATTGTTACAACATTCATCTATACTACCAATGGCATGATGAACATCAAAC